TTCGTTTATAATTGCTCTAAAATTGTCATTTTCCATGTCATAGCTGCCATTTTTTATATTTCCTAGTTTTCATGGTGTGGATTTTATTTTTAGTATTTTTCTTTCATGAGGGATGAGAGCTATTTGGTGTGCTTTTTTTCCAACCCTGGGCCTGCCTGCTCCAATGTGACAGAGTGGCATGTTCTGAGGACAACAGAACGTACTACTGTTTGCCACGCTGACACCGCCCCAGCTTTGCTGCCCAGGATGGAGAAGTCATTTGTTAATGGGCCTCACTTCACACGGCACTGGGTCAGCTTGGGCTCACCGAGAACTTGGTCTTCTCCGTGACACAGTTCAGGGGTTCGGCCCTTAATGCAAGTACAATTAAGAGAGTCGATCATGTGCGTCCAGCTTCCCAAGGTCACATTCTAAGGCTGCGGGAGTATCCAAAAGGAGCAGCCTCTAACCAAGACTGAAGTGTCTAAGCCCAGACTTAGCACTTGCCCAGACGGGGCCTTTTGTATTCAGCCTGCGTGGTGTGGCCGATGGCCTGGCCTGTCTGACTGCGTCCTGGTATCCCTCTCCCAGGTCTACCACATTCCAACCACTGAGCTCTTCACTCACCCCCTCAGACAAACAAAGCCCCGCTCATCATTGCTCTTTAACCCTTGCCTTTCTTTTGCTTGGGAAAACAAGGCTCCCCCATCTCTTCTGATTTTTCAGTCTCATTGTCAAAGTTACTGCCTGAGACAGCATGATTCTGACCACTTTGGCTAAAACAGGTCTCCATTCCCACTGAAACTATTTCATGTGCTTCACATCAGCCATCCCTCCCTGATGGTACTCATGTACTGACTTGGTTCCTGCTGCTTATACTAGAATGAAGGTTGGGACAAGGTGAGGGCTGGGTCTTCATCTTTCTTCTTCACAGCCTGGCATTTAGTAAGCCCAAACGTACTGCTTAATAACAACAAGTACATGTAGAGCTTGTCATGTGCTAAGTTCTGCACTAATCACTGTACAACCTTATCTCATATAATCACCTCAATAGTCCCATGACATAGGTACTATTATCACCCCATTTTAAAGATAAGAAAATGGAGGCACAGAGAGGTTAAGGGAACAGAGATGGTAAATTGGGGTGCTGGGAACAGCATTCAAGAAGTTTGGCTCTTGAGTTCATGACTTTTTTTTCTAGGAAGAGTCCTGGTGGAATTCAAATCGAGGATGAGGTTAGGGGGAAGTGGTAGCGGTGTGGAAAAGAAATCTAAGTGTGCCCATTTCAGCTGTAACTACAGAGATGGCTCCTTTCACGTGTGTGTGTGTGTGTGTGTGTGTGTGTGAGCGCGCGCGCGCAGCAAGCTGGTGTTCTGAAAAAACAATTTTTAGGTGTGGAAAAGAAATCTAAGTGTGCCCATTTCAGCTGTAACTACAGAGATGGCTCCTTTCACGTGTGTGTGTGTGTGTGTGTGTGTGTGTGTGTGTGTGTGCGCGCGCGCGCAGCAAGCTGGTGTTCTGAAAAATACAATTTTTAGTTGTGATCTTCTTAGAGGCATGAACCCATCAGCATAATTATTCCCTCTTGCCACGTGTTTCTGCTGTTGATCTGTAGTATAACACCATGAGGCCCTGCCTGCGACATCCCTATCTGTTCCAGGATTGCCTGTGATGAATCAAAACATTATTCTTTTAACAAATGAAGCAGTAAGCAGCAGGAGTGGAGTTACAAAGGACAATATTCAGGAGATGTTTAGACGTGTGATTAAATGGCAATTCTGGGAGGTGTGCTAGGAAAGGGAGATCATCATCTAAAGAGATGTGTGTGTGGATGTCATGGCGCTGCCTGTAAGCGAATGCCCGTGATAGAAGCTTACCCCTGGCTCCTGCTTCTTGGAGGAGTGTCACTTTCTCAATTTATATTTCTGTCCACCCTGTCTTAGTCCTTGACACACACACTCTCTCTCATTAATTGGGGTTGGAGTGGAATGCAAGGAAATCACAGGTAAGATTTTATCAGAAGGTATAGATCCAGTTGGATCTGTTGAACTAGGACCCAATTCAAGACCTCACTGTGAAACTCGTTCACACTCGGCAATGCTAGCAAGGCCTGGAATCATTGGCATTTGGGTTAATTATTTGAAAAGTTACTATCAGTGGATCAGTTAAGAATGTCTTGCTTCAACGCTTAGACTAAGTTTATTCATGTTTTGCCCAACAGATCAGATACTACAGCTGACATGCCTGAACAGCTCTGGGCCACCATAAAAGCGTGCTGCTGCTGGGAATTACCATGATAGGTACTAGATTCCCGATCCTTGTTTCCAAGGCTGGAATTCAGAGGAAAAGCTGCCCACAGACCGGCAGGCACACCTGCCTTAGCCATCCTCTCCCAAACACTTTAGTTCACTTTTCAAAGGAGATTAATGATGGCTTCTTTTTAAAATAAAAAAATTCAAACCAATTCACTGTAATTTCTCATCTGAGTTTCCAAGAACTGACTCCCCAGTGATAAAGTAGACAGATAGCTGTGCAGCTCAATCCAGATGTGCCCCTACCCCCACCCCATATCCAACATGTGTCCCCTTGGCTGTATAGAACTGAAGTTCTCTGGGCTCAAAACTAGTTTTATTCCTCGGACCCAGGGCTGGTTTCATGGTGTGTGGCCTGTGTCATTGCCCACGGTCCATGCTCAGAAGGGCCCCTCACTTGGTTTAATACCCTGCTGCCACCATTTTAAAGTTCTTAATAATTTATGGAAAAGTGGCCTTGAAAATGATGTAAGCTGGTCCTGCCTGGCATATACTGAATGTCTGGTATGTCAAAACATAAATATTTTGATAAATATGAATTTTAAAATATTTAATAATGTATTTGCAATTCTGAAAAAAATAAACAAATAAACAGTTTAATTATCTCTTAGTGAGAACAGCCTTCGATAATCTCTCTAATTGGGATCAGAAGTACAATGACATTTGCAAAGAAACGAGTTACAGAAATCTGCTGGAAACTGAATCTGGAGACTAGAGGGACCATTGCAGAGAATACGGTAGTGTAACAAGCACGTCCTCCAACTTCTGTCATCCGCTCCAGCCTGCTGAAGGAGGCTGCCCAAACCAGGCCCCCAGCACCAGCAGGAAGGAAGGCCTGGCTCAGGACCCTCAGGCCTTAGGAAGTCACAGCCTGGGAGACCAAGTGAGCCCTTCCCCGGGGACCACTTCCTCTCCTGCTTGGCTTGGAAAGCGGTTGTGTGGCATGGAGCCCAGTCAGCCTTAATGCAGATGAATGCTGTTTCATAATTATTTTTAAATCCATAATTCTGATTTTTAACTCAGATATACTTGCAGTTGGACCACATTCAGGAATAGACAATAACCTAAATAAGTCTTAAAGAGCTTTATGTTTTTTTTTTTTTCTTCAAATAGAGACCCTGGGATAGTCTTTGATGAATAGATGAGAATAATGCATAATTAGCATATCAGTTGTATAACGTGTTCAGGGGGATAGCCTTCTTAAGCTCTTTAAGAAATGTATGTGTATAAAACCTCTCTGAGCTATGTTTATATCTTAATGTGCTCAATAAAACTCTTCTTCATGGATTCTCCAAGGTCAGTGTTTATCCAGCCTATGGCTGCATTTTCAAAAATGGCGAACTTGAGAATTCCAAAGTAGAGAGCCTTTTCTATATAATAAATAAAGACTCTCAGTGGGAACATGTCACACTCCGCAGGTTATGATCCATTCAAAGTCTGCTTTGATAGTTCAGGATGGCTCCATTAGCTGGGACCTATTTTTTCATTGCTCTTTGCTTTTAGTCTCAAAAGTGAATAAAACAATGCACATTGTTATAGAGAAACTAAAGATGCTTTTGGTCCCTTGGCCAGCCCACCCTCCGCTCTCTGCCACCACTCCAGTCCTCCCCTGCCGCAAAGAACAGTCAGGGCCTGGCCCTCATGCCAGGTCCTCACGCCTGGTTCTCACGCACAACTTACAGCTCAGTGACTGGCACTGACCTAGGAGTCACCCTTGACACTCTGTTCTCTTCATATTCAATCTCTTCCCAAGTCCTTTCAATTTTACCCACAAACGCCGCTGAAATCTACACAACTCCCTCCTCTCTGCAGCCCTATCCTAGTCTGAGCTATGCGAGCCTCCTACTCAGACTTCCTGCTGCCATCCTGCCTCCTGAACCATCCTCCACACCCCAGCCCAGGCAGTCCCCTTAGAATGTAAACCTGATCACAGCACTTTCCAGCTCCAAACCCTTTGATGCCTCCTCATTGCTCTTTAAATAAAAAGACCATCAGGCTTGGTGGCTCAGTTGGTTGAGAATCATCCCCTATACCCAAAGGTTGCTGGTTCAATTCCTGTTCAGGGCACATACCTGGGTTGCAGGTTTGATCCCCAGTTGGGGCACATATGGAAGGCAGGCAATGGATGTTTCTCTCGCACATTGATCTCTCTCTCTCTCTCTCTCTCTCTCTCTCTCTCTCTCTCTCTCTCTCTCTCTCTCTCTCCCTCTCTCTCTCTCTCTCCCTTTCCCTCTCCCTCTCCCTTTCTACACATGTCCTAGGATGAGAATAAAAAAAACACAAAACAACCTTCCCTCTCTCTCTACCCCCACCCCGCCCCCGCCCATCCCTCTCCCTGTGGTTCACCCACAAAGGCTTTCTCTGGCTTCCTTGAGATTGTCAGGTTCAACCACCCCAAGGCCTTTGCACTTGCTTTCCTCTTTAGGGGACACTCTTCCCCACAAAATCTCCCCTCTTTATTGCTCAGATTTTGATATAAAATGTGTATTATTTCTTTATGGAATCTCTCTCTGAACCTGAGACCAGGTCGAGTGTTCACCTATATTTATTCATAGCGTTCCTTGAACCTTCAAGAATTTTAATCAACATTTATGTGCTTGATTATTTGATGAAGGTTGGGATCCCCTTCCAGGCTCCACGGACGCTCACGCTCCAGCCCCGTACCCCTCATTCGGGAGGTCTCCACTCCTGGATCCCGCACCCACTCACCGCACTCATGAGAGAGTCCAGGACGCTGACGGCAAATGCTGTCCCACAGGCAAACGGCTGCGTGAGGTACAGCTCTGTGTCGGGGTCATCATCATCGTCTTGGTCCAGAAATTGAACATTAGTATCGTTCACTAGAAAAAGCATAAATAAGAATTAGCTCAAAAAACTACACACCGTCAGTGAAACCAGAGGAAGAGCAGGCTAGTGGTTTAGGAACAGTGAGGTCACTGGGAAGGAAAGCATGGGAGAAGCTGTGGATGGGTCTGGGGGTGGGGCCGTGGGACTCAAGGGACTGCTCCTCCTGACCAAGTTTTCGAGGCCCGGAGGGCAGTGCATTCAGGCAGGCTTGCCCCATGGCAGGCTGCGGGAGGACGAGCGGACAGTGCTGGTCAGTCCTTTGGTATAGTTTTAGAATCATGACCGAAAAACACCCTACAGTGTTTTTTGGTAGCCAAGCCCTTTGAGAGACGGGCATAGTTCAAGGATGAGTAGCCAGGATTAGCCATGCTTGGTGGTAAGTTTAGCCACAAGGAAAGGAAAGCAACCTATTAAGAGGGAAGAGCAATTGACTGGGAGCAGAGCAGAGGCAAAGAGCCAAGAATTCACCCGCAGGCAGGCACAGCCCACACCCCGCTCCGAGATCTGCCTGGGTAGTGGCTGGTGTCCCCAGCCCTGAATCTGGGGGACACCCCACAAGCCATGCTAATGCAAAGGCGACCCCACGTGGGGTGTTTGCGGGCTGCCTCCAGCAAGCAGCTGACAAAGACTTGCTCTGCATCCGAGGCGCTGGGATGCCCACGTTCTCCCTTTCCCCTCCTAAACAGCTGTCTTTCCTGCGCGATGCAGCCCCGGGTGCCGTGTTTTATTCCGTCTGAGGATTCCTCAAGGACTCCTCTGGCACGCCCGCCTGCAGACTGACTGGCTGTGCCACTGAGATGCCTTTAACTTATTAAAGATTAAATGACAAATTAATTTCCATTCCCATCTTGACTTCAGTGATCAGTTTTGCAGAGCAAGTAACAGTGGGGGAAAGTCTGTGGTGGGGAAGAGAGCACTGGTGATTTCTAGAACAATTATTGTGCTTTTAGGAAAAGAATCAATTCGATTTCCTCTTTCTGATTCCTTCCTAAAGTACCAGCAGCTAATTCTCTTTCCTAGAGTATTTTTCCCCCCAAAGTAACTTTTTGGGTAACAATTCTTTTCTAACTTTTGTTTATTTATTGTATGAATCAGAATAAATGGTAACAGGATGGAATGCTAGGCACAGAATTATGTTTAAATGACACTTTCCTTAGAGAAAGATTCTAATGGGGAGAAATCTTGGCTCTGGTCTGCCTCAGTGTATCATATCCAGGTCCCATTGTCGCAGCAGCACTGAGTCACAGGCTCGTGGGTGAAAGTGCAGGATGCAGGGTCTGACAAGCAGGCTTTGGGTTCAGGCTCTGCACTCACTCCCTCTGCAGATGATCACTGCACACCTCAGTTTCTCCCTCCATAGATGGGGCATGGCAGGCCCTCTGGTGAGGTTGCCAGGACACCACTATGCTTGGCCCAGCATCTTGACAGATGTTAGCTGCTCTCAGAATCGTCTTTGTGACACTAAATCTTCAATCCACCCCTTACGTATGGAAATCCCCAGCTTTCAGAAGCCCATAAGGCCTACTCAGGGATCCTACCAGGGTCAACTCGTAGCTCCCCCCACCTCCCTCCATGTACCCGCAAGCATGCGTGGGTTGGCCGCTGTTGAGTCTTCCTACTTTGTGAATCAGAAAATGTGACCTGGGACAACATGCAGAAGACGTGGTATTATTTGTAATAGCTCAGGGGGGAGTGTGTATGGACACCCCAAAAGGAGGAGCAGCAGTTACCTCTTTTCATGATGATGAGGAAGGGCTGGTACTAGACTTAGAGGGGAAGTAGCCAAAATAAGGAGAGGTGGGTCTAAATTTTCAGCGAGCTGGGGTTTGAATCACTGGTAACAGACTTCAGGGTGTGAGCCAGGGTTCAGTGAAAATCCTGTGCACTGTTTTGGGTTACCCAGTCTCGGGAGGAGCACAGCCAGTGTTACCCTCATCCTATGTTACAGAACAATCACTATGCAGGTGCTAAGATGTGATTAAAGCAATCACCCCAATAGGTACAAGGTCAAATACAACTGGGAAACAGGCAGGTTGAACAGCTTTAAAATGGTCCTTCCTGTAAGACTTCCACTCACCAACATCAATTGGAACTCTCCAAATGGGTGACGACTGGAATACACTACACAATTTTAAGTTTATTTGACCTTGGCATCCTCTGTGGTTCTCAAAGTGCATTTTGCTGGCTTGGAGTATGCAGAACACATCTCAAAACATGTAGTAGGAAAATAGTAAATATTTGGGGGGATCGGGGAGGTGAGGTGGTCAGAGAATGATTGTATGATTGCCCAAGGTGGTCTGACCACTAGGAAAATCGGGCTTAATGTCGAAGGCACAGGCGATGGGCATCATGGGAACACGGGAAGTTCTCTGAGCTAATGGTAGACATTTAGTGAGGACAAAGACCTCAGGAGACTCGATGCTCACTGAAGGTCTGAATTGTTGCCTCAGATTTGGGGGACCAAGCTGTTTCTTTTCTCTTCTACTAATCACAGGTCAAGATGTCCTAGCTAGCTGGCAGCACATGAGTTCCAAATGGGAAAAGCAATTCCTGGCACTGAGAATTCTGAAATGCTCTGAAGGCTTCTGAGATGGACACGTTCGCATGGATTTTCTAACCAGAGGTCGGGGCTGCAGGAGCTCCTCGGCTCTCCGACAACACTAAGATTTGGGGCAGAGCATTCCCGAAACCGAGGCTCTCAGCCAACTTCTCTAAACACAAAAAGACACCTCTTCCACTGGTGGAAACAAAAAAAATAGTGTGATACTCCTCGACCTGTGCGAATTTGTCCTGATAAATAGCTACGTCTACCATAATGTGGTGCTGAGTGGTGGACAATTTATTCCTTAGTTCCTAGACACCTTGCAAGCAAGATGACTGTGTTAAAAGCTGCTCTTTTATTTTGAAATATATTTGGGAGCCAAGAAAATGGCATGTTAGTTTCATTTGTGAGTCATTTGAAGGCAGGTGCTCCCACCTCTCTGCCCAGCCCTCCGCCCAGCAGCACTTTCGCTGTCTCTATTTAGAAGATCAATCCCCAGCTCTGAGGCCTGCTGCTGATGGGTGCCTTTCACAGAGGTATTAACCAAGTCGTGGGGACCCGTAGAAGGGCTTGACAAATGCAGTCATGACCCGGCCCTTCGTCTTCCCGGTGAGTCCACTCTGAATCTCCTAGAGCAGGTTCTGGGCCAGCAGGGAGGGGTCAGGGCTGTGCCCCCCCGTGCTGCTAACCTCATCCTTGGCACCCTTCCTGAAATCTGCTTTGAAAAGAAAAGTCCCCTAAGAGCTGGTTGCTTTTATAGCTTCAGAACCAGAGCTTCTGAGAAAGGGCCTAGTATGAAAAAACGGCAAATAAAGTCAGAATAAAGGAAAATAAACAGCTGGAGGGAAGGCACCATCTTAGGTTTCTTATCTTAAAATTTTTTTATTTTTCCTTCGACTTCCTCCCAGAGCTGTGAAGATGTGTCAGTCAAGCTGACAGTGTGTTGGAAGAGGAGTAGAAGGGAGAAGGCGGGAGAGCAGGGAGACACGTGGAAAAGAAAGAAAAAAAAACAGAAAAAAAAACCACACACACACAAAAAAACACACAAGGCCCAGGCCAAAGAAAATGCATTAGAGCAAAGATGCTTTGAAAACAACTGCCAGGTCAGATGGGTGTGATCAAAGGTTCCCTGGTGCCGTGTGTGGGGAAATCATTAAGAAAGGCCAGAACAAGACAGTCGATTCCAACCAGAGCCACAAATAAAACGCATTCAAAGCAGTGCCATGGGGTAGCCTTTCTGTTACAGCCGGCGAAATAAAACACAAGCTGATGATGGCTGGGAACACCAACAACAGAACAAAAGAGATACTGATGTAAAGGAAAACAGTGTTTCTTACCCAGTTCAGTTATCATTAGAATGTGCGTCCCACTGTTTTTTTCCTGATTGACTGATACCAAAGGCAACTTGCCAGGTTTAGCTAATTGGATACAGCGTTTAAGGGTTGGGGAAAGGGAGTGGAGGAAAGTACAGAAAAAGAAAAGAGTGAGGGAATAACAGAGGAAACATTCTAAAGTAAAGGGACCCGGGACCTGGACCATAGGTAGGAAGTATTTATAGTGGAAGCAGGCAGTGTCATGGTCAGGCTAAAAGTCAAATTCCACTGGCCAACAAGTGTGGCCCTCAAAACCCCATCGCTTTTGGACCCGAGTGGCCTTCACTGAAAATGGCCTTTGTCTGAGAAGTCCGGTGAGGACAGAGTAAATGTAGTGTTATGACAAATTAGGCCACTTCTCTCCAGTTTTCTAAATGGGATTTGCTTAGAGCTGGAGCTTGGTGCCTCCGTGGAGGGTTCTGACTCTAGGAGCTGTCCAGAGGTGCTCCCCATGAGAACTACCAGGAGTCCACGGGCTATGCCCTTCCTTCCTTCTTCTCCCTGCCCTTATTTATGCCCCAATTTAAAATCCATCATCACATATGCCCCTGAAAACAGTGACCAGCATGAAGGAAACTGTCTATTCATCTCAGAGGAAACATGGATCAGTTTTCCCTTTTGCTAATCTGATATTTCTACACATGCTTCCTTCAATCTCCTCTAAACAAACCCCACTAGAGTCTACTATCCTGAAGGAGCTAAAAACCAGGCCAACCTCCTCTTATCTGACATGGTTGGAAGAGAGAACTAAAAATTCTGCCCATGACTACCGTTCACCCCTACCTAGTTCAGTGATGATGGGGATGTTGACCCCAGTTGTGATGGACGGCTGACGCAACATTCCGTGCACTGGGCTGTTGTCTGGCGAGGTTCTGTCCATTCCTGGAGGTGTGAACCCTGGTGGGAAGTAAAAAGAGAAGGGAGAAAATTCAGTTTTGTGGAAAATTTGAAAATAATAAGAGTTCAGGGTATATACACAATAAAAAAATGTAGCATATGCATTATTTATAGGTCAACAATTAGCACTGCCAGGATAAACTCTGATGAATTGTTTTTAGAAGAACAAAGTAGGAGATGATTGGAAATAATCGTAGCCCACTTTGATAGTTCTCTAAAAACCACACCCTACAAGAATTGTTGATGTTGCTCAGAGTTTTGTTCCCCTCTCCACGCAGGCACACGTGAGAATTATACCCAAGGGCCTTCTAGAAGTTAGATGTGACCAGGCAACATAGGAAATGTTCTGGCCCACGAACAGTGAACAGAACCATGCAGATCATCACTTCTGGTACAAATCAACCCACCGCCTGTCCTCCCAGACCACAGCAACTGTGGAGAAGATGGCTGGGAAGCAGCCCTGGACAGTAGCCCAGACCCAGAATGCATTCTGAGCGAGGGAACAAGCAGTCTGTGTTGCTTTAAGACACTGAGATTTGTTTCTTATCAGCACAGCATGACCTAACCTATCTTGTTATCATAAACCTACTGATTGCTTACTCTCTTGCCAGCGAGGCTTACCTAGGTTTTGGACACAGTCTGGCCAAGGGGAAGTGGTTGAGAATCTTCTTGGGGGCTTTTAGGGGGTGTTTCCTTGCTCTTAAAAAGAATCACATAGGAAGAGAGATTCTCTTTTAATTCACTGGGCATTGCTTTTGTGCCTGCAGTGCCTGGAACTGTGGCAGCCAACTCATACTAGGATGGGCACCAGCTGAGGACAAAGTCAGCTGAATGATATCGGCTGACCTGAATGATGAAAGACAAAACAACAGTAAGAGCAGTCCTTGAGTTCCTGATGAGCCAGCCCTGGAACCCAAACCAACTGACCTCAGGATTTCTTCCTACAGGAGATTTCATATATCTATATCTTCACATATATCTATATCTATATCTATCTATATATCTATATATATGATTATATGTATAAAATAAGATTTCATATAAATTATATATATGTAAATTTTATATACATAAATTATATATGTAAACTATACATGATGATACTAGTCTACACTAATAAAAGAGAAACATGGTAATTGGCGTACGACCGCTACCCTTTTCACTGGCTAATCAGCGAGATATGCAAATTAACTGTCAGCCAAGATGGCGGCTGGCAGCTAGGCAGCTTGAAAATAACATGAGGCTTGCTTGCTTCAGTGACGGAGGAAACCAACGTTCCCCGCTGCATATGAGCCTGCAGTTTAAGAAACTATGCAACAAATA